GTTTCAAATGAACCTTTGCATTTCAGTGAACCATAATTTTTGCCATAAAAATTTGTCCTGTGGAAAATGAGTGATGATAACGATATGGTTATTATGAGGTGCCTGTTTGTTTCTCTACTTCACAACTAGTCTGAATTTGGAGCGACTTCACTGAAAATCCCTGGTGGAACAGAAGGAACAGAGTAAGCTAGTACAGAAACAAGCCCAGGTTTTTCCTTCTTTTCCCCCTCAAGATGGCAGATTGCCCCCTTAAAGAAAGGTTGGAAAAGAGAGAAGGTAAGAAATAAGGTGTAGACTGGACTGATTCGCAGATCAAAAAAGCTACATCTGGTTTATGGTGCACATGGAGTCTCAGGAATAGGGACACAAGGATGACGGGGAGGAGGTTGGTGCACACCTGTGTCCTCCTACAGCATGTGATTTGGGCCCCTGTGGTATCTACCTCCAGACCTGGGAGGAGGCAGGTGAAGGAAGGTCCCTGCAGTGTCCTGCTGTAGTCAGGGCCCTGTGTGTGTGCGAGGATCACACACCCTTTTGCCAGGACATTTAATTCTGGAATTCCAAATAATGCATTTAGACACTGATAGAAAAAGCTCATCCTCTTCAAAACGTCAGTGAATGAACTAGGAAAGCAGACCCAAAAGAAAATAGAGTTCTCTGAAAGGCTGAATGGATGGCAACCAAAAATAATCTTTGTATGTGATAACACTAATTTAAAAACAAAAACTGTTACCACACAACTTTTCCAGGGCCAGGGAAGCCTGTTTCATTAGTGGACTAATTGCAGCATATATGTGTATGCATTAAGAAAATTACATGTACGCATACCTAATTACAGCTGAGGAGCCATGAGCTATTTTGAATGGCTGTTAACAGCGTAAACAATGAGGTTATTCATGGGCTGGATTCTGGCTGGGCTGAATGCAGGTGCAGAGTGTGTGCTTAGGTGGGAGGAGGGAGCAGTACCCACAGTCCTCTTCCCTCATTTTGTATGCATCGTGCAGAATTACAAAGGAAGCTTACTCATATGAGTTACGCAGTTACGCTGGAGTTTGATTTTTCATTAAGTTTATGTTTTACTGAGGCATGATATTTAACTTAAGCCTCTATTGAACCAAGCTCATAAATGGCTACTACAGCAGACTGTTCACATTTCTTCCTCACTTGAAATGGTGGCCAAATTATCAACAAGGAGTCGTCCAGTCAAGATCTTAATTACAAAGGATTGTCTGTTGTGGCTTTTAATTCCTTCTGGACTATCATTGTCCTTTAATTAAGAGAGTGGAGGTTATGATTAGTATTTTTCTATTACGTAGCAATAAATGCATTTCTTCGGTGTGTTCTTAAGGTTTTACCTTTCTGTAAAGTTGAGGACTTTATTTTCACTTTCTTCCTGTGATTTCTGCCAGGAGATGTTGCAGTTGCTTTAAAGCAGTTTTTCAGGCCTTCTTGTTTGTAATTTTAGTTTACGTTTTACATCCATGTGGCGACATTTGAGTACAGTAAAGCTAGGTGTGATGACTGCATACCTGAAAAGACAATACATCTTAAATACTACAAATATATGATAATGGAAAGATTATTTACCACCCCAACTGTTTTTAATGAACAGCTCATGTCTATCTTAAGTCTGTTAAGTTCAAAATTTAGTATGAGATTTCTAGTCAGCTTCTGTATCTCAGCTTTCCAGAATAGTCAAATGACTGATCGTTCTAAAATGCCTGTACAGAACCTAACTGGAAATATGGTTGAATTTTAATGAGGAAGTGGTAGAAACATAAGTCTAACACAGTAAGAAAAGTTAGGTAAAAACCGATTCAGAAAGGAAAGATATTTCACTGAAGTTATGCTACTGAGGTTTCTCTGAACATAATTAGAGAAAATAAATTTTCTATGTAAACAAATTAAAAGGCTTATCCAAACACATCAGGGTATTTTACATATGCAGTGTTCTTTGCTGGCAGATCCAAGAGTTCGTTATAAATATTTGTTATTAACATTTCTACATTGTCCTGGTGATGTAGATAAGTATTACTTTTATTGTTCTACAGTGAGGGATACTATATTAAATGTCACTCAGAAAATTAATTTTAGAGAGAAAGATGAAGCTATGTATCGGACCTTGCTTCTCTACTCTGCTCACTGATTATATTTCCTCTGGAAAGGAAGGAAGGAGCAAAAAATTTCCCCTCTGTGTTTGTAGTCTTATTCTAATTTCAGCTAAGTGTTAATGGACTTTGCTCAACAAAATGTCACTTTTCTGAAGTAGCAAATAGTGCTAGAAGAAACGATATGTCTTTCAAACCATTATCTTTTGTTAGTGATTGAGACTATGCAGTGTTTTTATTTTTAGTAAGAAAAGTCTCAGAAAATTGTCAGTACCACAATCCACTTACTTTAAGCCATTATAACCATTTTTTCAACCTTTAAAAACCTCTGTACTTCCAACACACTTAAAACTACCAAGCTAGAAAATGATTCTTAGATTCTTACATCTTCTTCAAATAGTTTTAATAGCAACAGAGCAGTAAGATATATGTGAAAAAACTTCTGTATGAGAATCATTTGGCAGGAAACTGTTACAGTTGGCTACCTGAGCTTTACTGGGGGCAAGATACTATGCCATCAGATAAAGTTACTTCGGTTCATAAATAATGCATTATCCTGTTTTATTTTAGTTTAATTGGAGCAATTTACTGGTCTCCGATCAATAAAAGCATAAAAATGTAAAAAAGTGTATGCATGCATAAATCTAAAGCAAAGTCTGAAAGGCAGTCTTTCGGCCAAATTAATTTAATATAAAGGACCACTTATATCGAAACAGAGACTAACAATAAAATGGAACTATATTCCTCCAGGTCAATTTCCGTGGCAGACACTATGGAATGAGAAATATAAGCCACCACACTTAGTTTGAAGAAAGAAGAGAAGGATAATTTCTACATCAAAGAAAATCATACAGAAATGTGTTACATTTTCACTGCCTGTAAATGATACCTGATCAAATTCATTCAGTGTTTGGCCCTGGATCATCCTCTCTATTTAGTTGGAAACTGCATATATAAACTCAAGATTATGATTCGATTTAGATTGGTTTGTCTGTCTTGTTTTACAACAGGATGAGCAAATTTACTGTGAGAAGTTTTGAAGAAATGTTATTTTAATTATTGAACTATTGCTGATTTGAGCTTCTAAATATGGTTTGCCATCCAGCAAACTCTGTCTGTCCCTGTGAATGTAGTAGATACCAATAATACAGGCTTTCTTCTTAATGCTTAGGAAAAGTTGACTTGGAATAATAAAAATCATGGTCTGCACTTCACAGATGAGATGATCAAGAAGTATTTTTTCACCTTTTCAAGTTTCCTGTTTGTTCTGTAAAACTGCAGTCAGGAGAAGACAAAAGCATGAGAACATTTCTGGGGAAAAAAGAAAAGCGTTGTTTGGAAGCTTTAAAGATGTAAAATGATATTTGCAGCTTGGCAGTTTGGGAAGCTTTTGCAGAATTAAACCTTTGGAAATGTCTCCATTACTCATGCTGTTAAGGAACTATGAGTTGACATTCTCAGCAAGTCCTTTTCCTGTGCAGGACATTCTGATGTTTCTCTGGCTAACGTAGCTAAAATTTGTGCAGGAAAAGATGTGCATTTGATCCATATCCAGGAGCAAGTAGGCGCAGGATAGAAGAGTCAACAACATTCACTGCAATTATTCAGGAGCTTAAAGATAGCACAGATTTTCATGCACACACAAAGATTTCAGATATCTTTATGATACTGAACCAACATCAGTGTGTTGGTTTTTTTTATTAATATAGTTGTCCAGGTTAGGGTAAATTCATTAAGGTCAAAGCTGACTTGCACCAAGATTTATATAAGTCTGGAGGAATTCTGTTGAAATGAAGTTAGCTTTAAGGTATGAAATAAAGCATGAGGTTGGACTATCTGGCATGCCAGTCTTCTTTCCCTCTTGAGAAGCTTACTAATTGTGAGAGGGCATATCTACTGATGTTGTAAATAGTATTCACCATTGAAGTGAAATATTATAATGGAAGGAAGGAATTGTGAAAGCTAGTATGGAATATTAAGACTTCTTGTACCCTGTGTCAAGAGGCATGGGAACAGGAAGGTAGTTCTTCCGTCATTCAGAATGTGATTAATAATGTCTCATTATTTCATTCAGGAACACCTAAAACAAAAGACTCGTAGGTATCTGGCATGGCATTCAAAGCTTGGATTTTCAAATGAGTTTTTGTGTTAAGATCTGAAATCCCACTAAATTTAGATGGGAATTGAGTTCTTAACACACTTGTTCTCTTTTGAGCATCTTAGTTTAAGTATATTTATTTCTCAATTTACATAGTTTTCTGACTTTGAAGTCCCATAGAGATTCTGGTGTCCATGCAAGATGATGTATTCAAAAATATTATTCACAAACATATCCAAGTACCATGCTACAATACTATACCAACAGTCTATATATTACCAGCTTACCCAATGTAAATATAGTGTATATTTATTATTATTATTATTCATTGTTAAGGTACCTAGTCTTGGTTGAACAAGATAAACCACAAATTTCTCTGTTCTAGAGTTATTTAAAAACTGACAGGTACATTTTTGTGTTCCTTTTTTCGTAGTGGGGAAAGTGGTGCTGGAAAGACTGTAGCTGCTAAATATATCATGAGTTATATCTCCAAAATTTCAGGAGGTGGCCCTAAAGTACAGGTGAGTTGATACAGAATAGTACTGAAGCATAAGCATAGTCTAAAGGTTTACTTCAGAGGCAGAATGACAAAGGTCTGTCTTGGCAGACACTGACAGCCAAGAGGCACTCTACCAAAGAAGCTTATGGGTGAGCAGCTAGAAATACATACAAGCCCTCAACAGCAGAGAGACAGCAAGAGTGAACTGCTTGCTTGCAGATTGCTGGGCTGTCTGTGTGATGGGAGCCATACGAGGGAAATCCACAGACCCAGAATCACCTCTGCGACAAGTTTTGTAGCTCTCATGCTGAATTATGTCTATGAGCATTTTTTTTTAGTTAAGGCATGAAAGGTACTTTAATTATTGTTCTTAACCAAATTAAGAACAACCAATCTCGTTCTAATAGTTGTGCGTTTTTTCCTCCTGTGTTGGCATTCTACTGAAAACTGAACTGGCTTTTCAGGTGTGAAAGCTAGCTGAAACAACAAATAGTTGCTTTTGTTAATAACTATACTATCAATGTCTGCTTTATCTATTGGCACCTATTAATTGAGTGAATTACCCATAAAAATTCCCTTAATGATGTTACAATGTCATTCATTGACTGACAGGCAGTGGTAGGTAGGTAGTAGCTACTTTTACCAGTCCACTCTTTTTGAGTGCTTACTGTTATTATTTCCTTTATTGCAGTCTGTAATGTTAAGTATGTGTCTGCTTAGTTTTGCCCAACAGTGATACTGGGAACATTGCAGAGAATGATTCAGTAACCAAGAGAATGATCCAGAGAAAGTATGCATAGTGTTATTTTTGGAATACATATAAACATACTTTATAAGTAAATATTTTGTTTTATTTAAAAGATTGCAGCTTCTTGTACAAAATTAAAAACCATTCTTAGTGATTATGGAGTAGCAGTTGATGAAGTTGCTAAGTTGCCTTGAGCATTTCTTTTGAAATAAAATTCAATCTTCTCTTCACAACCCAGCATGCATTGTGTTTGTTCCAAAGCTAATACCTTGTCCATATTTCCAACTTCCAGGGTCAGATAGAGACAATAGTTACACACTTTATTGCTTTCTAAGACAGCTAGATAGCGGCATTGTTGATCCCAAAACAGGTTGCTGAAGCACTTGCAGATTCCTAAATTTCATGCTGCTCTGACTTCATTGGTTGTGGTTCCAGACCCCCAAAAAGGTTTAAGTACTCATATGTAAGAAGGAAATTGTTTAAAATCAAGATGATGAAAAAACCAGACCAGTTTATTGGCTGTGTTGCTTGGCAGAACAGAAGGACCAGTTTTTAGCCTCAGGCATTTTGTTCAATTTTGTAGGATTTTCTTCAAAAAATAGGAACCAGAAACTCTGGGGAAAAAAAAATGGTTAGAGTCTATTCCTTATCTGATCAAGAGGATTTCTTACAGATGCAGGCTTTTTTTTCTTTTTTAATATACAATTTGGATATTACGGTTTTCTAGAAAATCTGTAAGAACTTTAAAAATGTCTATTTCTGAATCTCTATTTCTCTTGTTTCCTAAAATTTTAGCATGTTAAAGATATTATTCTGCAGTCCAACCCTTTACTGGAGGCCTTTGGGAATGCAAAAACTGTACGGAACAACAACTCCAGCAGATTTGTAAGTCCCTCTATCTTAGAGATTACTTTATTCTTCCAACTTCTGTGCTGTTACAGTGTTCAGGAGCATAATATAAATTGACTACAAATGAGGTAAATCTCAAAATATAAAGTGTGTTTTAAAATGTAAAGTATATGTTGAGGCCTCTGTTTCATTCTGTATAGGCTGCGCATTTGTTTCTCTTACAATATGTACTGGTCACAATTTATGAAATGTTCAGTCTGCAAGCAGATACCTTACCAGCAGCAAACTGGCCAGTTTTCCAGATCAGTAAAATATATGCAAGAATATATGTTTAAAAAGAAAAGGATAGCTTTTTTAAAAATAGATGAAACCATCCTTAGAGTTGTTTGATGGGAAATGCCTTTACCAATGTGTACAGAAAGTAGGCACGAATTATTTTCTGTCTGTCATTATAAAATACTCAAGATAATACTGTCAAATGACTGTTCACTAGATGACATACTGTAGGATCCATTTTTAAAAGTTACACACAGGCTTTACAAATTTGAGATTTTTTCCTCAGCCTATGTGACTGTTAATGCAATTAATGTCTCCCTGAAAGACAAAGATAATTGCTTTACCTTGCTTCTAAGCAGAACACTATGTTTGTTGTTGGTCGTAAATCTGTTAAATTTACTTCCCGTATAGGTGAGCCTTATGGTTTCCTTTACACTAAGCAAGAGTCTCAGCAGTGAAAAGAAGCCCCTGAATTCCTCTCTATATTTGCATTAACACATGACATATTACCCCGAGTCTAGCGCTGTGTAAATGCAGAAAGAAAGATAGACATGTGATAGTTCAAGAATCTAAGCTCAGGTTATACCTTGAGGGAGCTGTGTCACTGCATCCATAAAGATTAAATATCCTAGTAACCTTCCCTGACATACGGGACAAGTGCATGATTTCAGATTTGTATTTACTAATCATTCAACAGCTTTAATTATTTATTGCAGGGGAAATACTTTGAAATCCAGTTTAGCCCAGGTGGAGAACCAGATGGAGGGAAAATCTCCAACTTCCTACTGGAAAAATCTCGAGTTGTAATGAGGAATCCTGGAGAGAGAAGTTTTCACATTTTTTACCAGGTCAGAAGTGTATAGGTCCTTTCAGCATTATTTAAAATAACCAGGACCAGTTTTTCCTTTTGATTGAAAAGTCATTCTCAACACAGTGAGATTACTGAATGCACACTGAAGAAGGTAATCTGGGTATCACTGGGAAGCTTGATAGCATGTTGAGACACCGCCTAACATAAACCTACCTAGCTGCCTTTCAGCTCCAGAGCAAAAGTACTTCAGTATTTGGAAGGCCTTGTTTGGAAGTTCACTGTGAACTCCAATATGGCAAAGTCCAGTAGAATATGATAGAAAATAAGAACTTTCCAACAGATTTCTTTTTAAACTGGCCTATATAATTATACCTTCTACTCTGGAATTCCATAACACAGCTGTGAAAGAGAGATTTGATTCTCAGTTAAGTTTTCTAGGACATTTAGGATATCTATTTGTTGAATCCTCCAAGCATACCAGCTTTTTTTGTGTTTCAAAAGGCTTTTCTGGCCCCTTTCCACTAGTCCTTGACATGTGAGTTCCTTATCTGCTGAAGTACCGTTGATCAAGTTCTACAAAGCTACAGTAAAGACAGTGCATTGTAAGTGACTGTAAGCAGCTTCACATAAAGTTGAAGTGCCATTGCCAGGATGGAAGGCTGAGTTGGAGCTGGAGTTGCTCCAGGAGCTCTGCATTCTCCTCTTCTGAGATATATGAACAATTTGCAGTGTCCTGCTGATTTTCCTCTGTGGCTTGGAGAGGCTTTTTGACACAGGAGTTAAGACTATGGGGTTTTGACTATTCTTTTTTGAGGTTAGTTTGTTCATTCCTTCCTGTTGCAGCCATGTCTGTGCACAAGTGTGTAGACTTTACATAGGTTGAGGAGCCTCTCCTCTGGCATCACAGAGGGTACAGGAACCTTTTTTAACTACTCTGTTATTTTAGTCTTGGCCCTGTTGGCCTAAATGATGCAAAGAGGTGTGACTTGAGCCATGCTTCAAATGAACGTAGTATTGGAGCAGTTCAAAACTTGCTTAACATATGCCCATTAGGGCATAAAGGATGCTTGGCCTCACAATTAGTGTCACAAATAATGCTTTCTTAGTAAGTTCTTTCAACTCTGCCTACCTTTCAGTAGGTATGGAAAACACGTTGCTCCTGAAGATTTAGATAATACATTGCAGACTGGAAAACCCGCTTTGCCTTATCTTCGTGAGGTAAGGATAATGGAAGGCATTCAAGTCAGTCACAGTTTTTACTTTATATTAGATGTGGAAGTTAGAACTAAACCATTCATGGGAATGGGAATGAGAATCTGGTCTTGTGGGTTAAACAATTAACAAAACATAGGAAGGATACACACCTGGCACAGCGCTAGCCATATCTCTCCCAGTAATTTCAGGCTCAGTCACCTGTTTCCAACCTGGCTCATCTCTGCTGAAGGTCATTGTATGATAACTAATTTGGGGATTTTTATTCTTCAGCTAATTGAAGGGGCCTCCTTGGAACAAAAAAGCAGTCTTGGCATTACCAGTATGGACTACTATTACTATCTGAGTCTCTCTGGGTCCTACAAAGTCGATGACATCAATGACAAATCAGATTTCCAAGAAACACTCGTGAGTTTTTCACTCTATGATTTGCATAGTGGTGGATGTATGTTCATTTTCCTGTTCATTTGAAGCAAAGACATTGGTGTATTAATGTGGGAATGAGAAATTAATGCAGATGTCACTTATTTTAATGATAATTTACCCTGAGGAGGAGTTACGTTACCCTGAAGAGGTCCTACATTGCAGCCTAACAATCTTGAGAGGATAGATGCTTTTTATAGATGGGTGTTTTGTTTTCTGATTGTTCTTTTTCAGAAGGGTGCAAATGTAATGAAATTTAATTGAGTGCAGATAATCTGCAGTATGAAAAATGTGAAAATGCAAACACAATGAGGAAATTCCATTAAAAGAAAATTTAAGACAGTGCCCTGTTTTAGCTGATTTTGTAATGGTGACTCATCTTCCATGCCTATTCAAAACAGTGCAACTGAAAGGCTGGAGAAAGGGACTTAAAAAGCATAGATCAGGGATCTTTATCCAGTACTGTTGCAAATTCATTGTGTGACCTTTATGCAAGTCATGCCAACTTGCTGGTCTCCTGTTATTAGAAATCTACTAATTTTCAATAAGCATATTAATACGTCTTCTTATTTATATATTTGCACATTTAAAGGCCTAAAAAAAAAAAAAAAAATCCTAACTGTTGTATTCTAGCTAATCTGGTGTTTTAGAAAAACAGTCAGTTGAGAAGACATTCCATAAGTTACCATGTACTCCAGACTCCAAAACCCAATGTTGTTGTGGATTATTTTCTAGTAAGTGGCTGAAATTCACAGCCTAAGCCAGACAGACTGTGCTGCTTTTTGGAGTCATTCAGTACAGCTTCACAGTTCTTTAGTCTTAGTGGATAAACTGTCTGTGTAGAAGGAATAAAATCCTTGTCTCTTAAGTTCATTGTTTCACATTTTGCAATGAAACTATTTAGTTTTAGTGTGAAGCTTAAGAGCAGGTGCTTGTTTTTCAGTAACTTTTTAATTTTTCCAACATTTATTTTGCTAACACATCTTCTAAATGGTGTAGCTGCTTCTGTATTTAATTAAAAAAAATACAAAAATTCTGAAGTAGGACATCTGGTACCTTTTGAAATGTCAGTGAAGTCTGTAATGAAATTTGGTTGCCTTAAATATTTGAGTTTTGAAAAACTCAAATTTTTAACATAAAAATTTTAAAAGGACTTCTATGACAAGAGTCATTGAACAGATTCTTCTGCTGATTCAATTTTTTTTCCTTCTTTTTCTTCCCAGCATGCAATGAGTGTGATTGGGATCTTTGCAGAGGAACAGGCATTGGTGCTGCAGATAGTGGCAGGAATACTGCATTTGGGAAACATCAGTTTCAAAGAAGTTGGCAACTATGCAGGAGTGGAGAGTGAGGAGTGTAAGTACCTCTGGGAACTGTTACAGAATTAACAATGGGCTGAAACCCAGATGGCATAAGGTGAACTGCAATCCTGAGCTGCTTATCCAAACACAGTGCATCGTTTCTTACAGTGAAAGGCTGCTAATTTAGATTCTCTTCCAAAACCAATGGTACTGAGGCTCTGTTTTATCTTGTACAATGCCACTGACTTGATAGGAGTGCAATTTTGCATTTTGAATTAAAGAAATCCTTTTCCAGCCTTTGAGTATGAAATAATAGAAACTGTGAGAAAATCTTTCAAGCAAACTTGAACTCTGCTCCTTTCAATGCGTGAGCGTGCATTCATAAAAACACCTGTTTCTTATGTGGTTTGTCTAACGTCGTTGCCATGTGAAAGCAGCTACCAATGTGTGGAGTATCCCCAGTCTCAGGTACAGAGTGACCACTCAGGCACGCATATATGTGTATATATATGTACACGCATCCAGAATACGTGCCTTGAAAACAGAAATTCAGAATTGAATTGAAATGCAGAATTTACGTACTACAGTTATCTTCCCTGTCTCAAATTTATCAACCTATACCTCATGATTAGGTACATCTACTGTGTAACTATTTCCTTATTATTTCCTTATCACAATGCACTGTCCTTGCATCCTTCACCTCCTGCTGCTGTTTTATATCAGCTAGGCCCACATCAAGATGTTGAAAGATTAATAGATCCTGAGTTTTAAACATTTTTGTCATGATTTATACCTTGCATCTAATGTTGATTTTATACTACCTTGATAGTTTAAGGACAGAGTGGATAAGCACAACATACATAGTATCTTATACATATCTGTCTGTTCTCTTAACTGTTATTTCAGAATGGTCCTTACGTTTAGGAAAACTGCATTTTTTTAGTTTTAGGTGAGTTAAACATGAATAAAGCATCTTGTGCAGTCAGCTTCCCACTCAACTGTATTAGTACTCTCCTGCTATTTGTTTTAAGAAATTGGGAAATAAAAGTTACTAATTTTTAACCTTAATTTCTTAATTTGAGAGAATAGTAAGTGAACCCAAAGAAAAAGATTTTGTGGCATTTTGTACGTCCAAAGAAACGTATGGGATTTTTTTATATGCCTTATGATTCCAAAAGAGCTACTGTGCTTCCATTTAAATCACAGTATTAAATCTTTCAATGAAATCAAGACATTTAATAGTCAGAGGAGATAGATACAGAGTGTGTTGCATCAAAAAGTAAGAAACTGGAAAGAGATGAGTTGAAAATAAGTTGGTAAATGGTATTTCTGTGATGAGCCATATACACCATATTTCTCTTGTTCACTGGGATATCAATACAGAAGTTGTGTATGAATAATACATTGAAAAAATTAGCAGATAGAATGAATCTAGAATTTATTCATAAACATACTGCATTTTAAAGAAGCCAGAGAAGAAATAGCAATGTCTAGTACAATTTCTGCATTGTAAAGAATTTCATTTCTCTTTCCATTAATCCTCCTCCCAGTTTACTGTTTGTCCTAGCCAACTAAATGGTAAAGCATTTATAGCCTGGAGAGCCACGAAAGATAAAACATGATGAAAGATCACTGATAAGTCATGCTTTGAGTAAATCTGAAATAATAAAAAGTTTAAGAATTTGGTCAGTAGTGTTCTTATTATATAGCAAATTGCAGAAAAACATGTAAAGGCCATTCTTCAAGACACCAAAAACTCTAGTCTCTTACTCTCAGTCAGAATCAAATCTGTACAGACCATTCTTGACATACATTTAGACCAATACTTCTTTAAAACTGCTGGTGATTACTATCTGTTATAGTGCCTAGTTATATTAATAGTTGAAGAAAACCTTCTCATTATATATTCTAAATCTTCCATGTTGCAGATCACGTCAAATACTACTTGTTCTCTCCTGGATGCAGAAAACAATTTAAACCATCCCTCTTTACACTTGCATTGTATTGAAAGATTTGTTTTACACTGGGAACCGATGAAGTGAACCTAGTCTTTTTCAGCTTTTCTTCACAGATTGTATTTGAAATACAACTATTCCACAGAACGCTATAGATTACTCTTTGAGGATCATTTTTTCAGTTATATGCATATCCTGCTTTACAGTAATTTCTAGATGGTAACTCTATGGTCCCTAACTAGGGAAAATAATCAGGCATCTTAAGAATGTGAAGTTATATCAAGTCATGTCCAGCTATTCTTCCTTTACAGTAAATCATTAGCACTGTGAAGGAAGAGTTTCTGAGGTATGCATGGTGGTTCTTACCATTATACTATCTTCATAAATTCTTACAGTAGTATTGGCTAAATACTTATTCTGGCATCTTTACAGTATATGTGAGCATATTTGGCCTATCATTACCTACATTCTTTTCCATTTTAAAGCATATGATGTTTGACCTTTTCATGTGCTCTTCAGCCTGAGTTCCCAGTGAGTTACCAGAGATGTTGCCACTGACTCAGCTTTGGTTAGTTGTGTGGTTCCTAGTACCCTAGGGTAAATTTGATCAGCTTGCTGATGGTAATAAATCAGATTTCAGAAAGATGGTGGTTATTTGCAGTTGTAAAAATTTTTTTGGATTAATGTACTGAAGGATTTAGCGAAATCATGCTGTGGTGTTACAGATGTGTAAAGCACGAGTGGCTGCTGCCTTAGTGATTATTTTACATCCTCCTCACACCAGTAAAGTAGATCTGAAAGCAATGGAACATGAAGGAAGCACTGTTAGAAGATTATGTGATTTAGCAGAGGTACAATACCAACTCCAAGAGCTGCCCTTGGGAGCTATTTCCATATGCTTTCAAGCCATTTATCTTTTTCCATTTTTCCATTCCTTAAGGTGTGTGACACCTGCAGCTAACATCTGCACCATGTGCTAAGAATGCAAAGACTACTAGACTTGTGGCTGCTTATTGCACAGATGTATTTTTCTGCTTTACTTATAAACAAGGGAAACCAGAATTTGCAAAGTACTTCCAGAATAAGAGATTAAAAAACCAAAACCAAATAAATGACAAGGCAATTGAAAACTTTTTGCAATATCCTAACTTAGAAGAAGAAGAAGAAAGGAAAAGAATATTAGGAAGCAGATAGCATAATCTTTATTATATTTTAAACATTTGATGTTTTTACAAAGAATTTTCAATGGTGTCAATTTTATTTAATGTGTGAGCTCTATGTTTTATTTCTCTCTCCTCCAAGAGTGATTTGTTTGAACCACATAGTTCAAAACTGTGACCTAAGCCACCTTACATGTTTGAAGGACTGAAGATACAGAAATAGTTGACTATTTTACTTCAGGGTGGTTTATCTTAATTGAAATCCATGTAAGAGTTGAAAATGTCCTTGGGGAGCTTAGGGAAATTTTCAAGACATAAATCCCTCCTCTTTTTAAGCTGCATGCCCCATAGAATCATAGAATGCTTTGGGTTGGAAGGGACCTTGAGAGATCATCTAGCCCAACCCCCCTGCAGTGAGCAGGGATTGAACCCGTGACCTTGGCATTATTAGTGCCACATGAGGTTTATTACTGCTGATTGTTACTAGAGATACAGCTAATTTTTTTTCCTTCATTCTGTAAGTTATAATCCAGCAGCCCTGATCTTTCTTGCAGTTTTGGCTTTCCCTGCTTTTCTCCTGGGAATTAACCAGGACCGTCTGAAGGAAAAACTGACCAGCAGACAGATGGACAGCAAGTGGGGAGGCAAATCTGAGTCCATTAATGTAACGCTAAATGTGGAACAAGCCTGCTACACCAGGGATGCACTGGCCAAGGCCCTTCATTCCCGTGTTTTTGATTACTTGGTGGATGTAAGTTGGATTTGCTTGATTCTATTGAATTATCAAAACAAGTACAAGTACACTAGGAATGTTCCTTGCAGTGCTTTTCTTGTCCATCATTTCTTTCACCCAGTATGTTTTTTTGCCTAAACTGTAGCAGCAGCACTGAGCAGTGCAGTGGGAGCATGACCACCAATATCAAATACAAGGCACTGATGATACGACAAATGCTACACTTTCTTTGAAGCAAATGAGCTATGCTTTCAGCACTATATTTGCTCAGTGTCCTGCCACAACTGTCCCATATGACATTCTGACATCTCCTTCCTGTCAGCATCCATACTTCTCTGAGTCTTACTTTCTCCTACATAGCCGAGCGTTTTCAGATGAGCAGAATTAGTGGGTTGTAGTCCCCTGCTCTCTTACCCCACTCTCCTGCAAAAAACCCTTTCAGCATCCGAATGTTGTGGTATTTGAGCAAATGGTCAAATTTCATTCTCCATGCTAAAGTACTCTCTTGTTCAGAATGAGACCCTGGGCTGGATTGGTGGGGTAGAAACCTTACCTTTGGCCACCGACGCTGGCTAGATGAAGCAGAAGTCTCCTCTGTGGTGGCATTGCTAGTGTCTCAAAAGTCTCCCTCATCATGACAGTTCTGTAATTCCCACTATGTGCCTGTACCGGCACTGACACTGCAAAGTAGGGGAATATAGAAATAGGTGAAAAGGTTCATGGTACCATCTGCAAAATGCATCAAATATCAGACTTAAAGCCGTTCGTTCTTTGTTGGCTCCTTTTCTTTAACTGAGCCAGTTACGCCAAAGGGGAAAGATTTTTACAAAAAAGCAGATCCAAAGGCTCACTAACCTGGAAAACAGCATAGTATACTGTTCATTTCCTAGTTGTTAATAACATTTTATTAAAAAAGTGGAAGTAAAATATCCTATGACATATATTTGTATTCCATTCAAATATATTCTTTTTTAAGAAACCCAGTATTTTTATATAAAGATTTAAGGATATGAATATATCTTTTAAATATATTAACTACACTTTGTTTTACATTTTGTTTCTGGTTTATTAGTCTATTAATAAGGCTATGGAGAAGGACCATGAAGAATATAACGTTGGTGTCCTTGATATTTATGGCTTTGAAATATTCCAGGTAAGGCAATGCAATACTCAACTCAGGGTTTGAGTTGATCTGACCTGGGAGAGTTTTTTGTTACTTAGAGGGGAAAAAATCCAAACCAGAAAAAAACCCAAATCCTGTGGCCAGAAGAAAAGCAAAAAAACCCAACCCAGCTTCCTGGACATTGAGGTCTCACTGTTAATGTCTCACTCAATAAACATGAAGTATTGAAGAAACTTCAAAGAAACTAGGTCATTGATCTCAGAAGAAAGATCTGAGATTACACAGAATGTCTATAAAGTCAGCAACCCATCCGTCATTGACAGTGTTTCTTTGAAGCTTACTGCCAGCGTAAGAACGAAGAATTATTGTATATAAAAGCATGAGACTAATTTTTAAATTGTTTCCTTTTCTATAGAAAAATGGTTTTGAGCAGTTCTGCATCAACTTCGTTAATGAAAAACTACAGCAGATTTTTATTGAACTGACACTCAAGGCAGAACAGGTAACGAGACATTTATTATTTTTGAATTCAGAAATGAGCTATGGCTTTTTCAATTGGTGGAAAAATTGAGGTTTCATCATACGATAACAATGAAATTTGCCTTGTTAAGCAAGATGGGGAAAAAAACAACCCTTTGTTGTTGGCTAGCCATAAAACTGTAAACCACATCAGCTACAGACATTTATTCTCTAATACAGTGGTACAGAAGTGAGTCTGTCATATGATGTACTAATGCAGTCATATGACTCTGCCAGACTTGCTGCATATTCTGACTCATTGGCAGAAATGGAAAACTGCAGCTTGGTTCCGTCCCTGTGCTTTCGTTGGACATGACACACAGTGAGATGGGAGTATTTTTCTTAATTCCCGCCCCCCGCCTTTTTTTAAATATATATGAATGAAATAGATTACTCAGACAAATGCAAAAATACTTTTGAAAGAATTTGCAGTTCTCTGCTCACAGTCTTACTGCAAAATCTCACTTTACATGAATGTGAGCTTCTGCATGGGAGGGCAGACAGAATGTAGCTCAGACAGAAGCATTGTGTACAGTATGAGCTCAGGCCTGGCACCAACTTTAGGACAATGTTTTCAAGAATGCACATACACAATTGCCTTTGTATAAAAGTGACTGATCAGTGCAGTTGAGCACACAAATAACCTGCTAACTGTCTAGTTGAACTCATATTATACAACTGAATAGGTCAATTTAATAAAATTTTAGTATGATTTTTTTCCCCAGTCGGTCTCTAGATGTCTTTATGGTTACAGTAATTGTGTACAGAAATAAGAAGTGGAGCTGTGTCTCCATTTCATATGCATTTCTAAATGTGTTGTTTTGGGGGGTCTGATCCTTGATATGCCTGTCACAATCAATTTTTAAAATAGATTAGGATATGGATGCTTAGGTGCACTGTCAAGATACTGTAAAACTCACTTTGTTACTGTTTGGAAAGTGCTTTGACAGTAAATGCACTGATGAAATATTCCTGCTCTTCTCGGTAGCTACTCAAGGGCTATGAATGATAAAAGAATGTGTGGGGAGAACAGAGAAGGATTCCGATTCATCTCTTGGGCAGTAGAGAACTGGATTTAACTATCATTAGGGTAATTTCTCCCACCTCCCCCCAGTCATACATTTGACAAGTCTTTCTGAACATGAGTAGCGCAGAGTTTCTGTATATGTAGTGCGTTGTAAATCTAGTGCTACATGCACAGTGCAAAGGAATATTTGCATCTTTCTTTTTACTTTACAGGAAGAATATGTGCAAGAAGGAATTAAATGGACACCAATAGATTACTTTAACAACAAAATAGTGTGTGACCTTATAGAGAACAAAGTGGTAAGTATTTAGAACAAACAGATGGAAAAACCAAGGTTTTTCTCTAGAATATTTGGGCAACTGCTTTGCTGTCAAGAACGTTCATAGGAAAAATGCAAATACTGTTGTTCAGTTACTGAGTCATACTAAGCCTATATATAAATCTTACATAAGACATAAGAGATCTAAGATATATGTCATCTAAGATACCAACCGAAAAGAGAACCATAAGATAGCGTGATTGATGTGTGACTACAAAATAAGATGGAAATTAAAATTTTATCCACCTAAATTTATCATGAACTTATAACTTATTCTACTGTACATCAGATAAGGCTGTCTGTGTCCCTGGGAGATGTATTTCAGTTTGGGGAAGCTACAATACCAGCTTCCTTTGAGGTACTGCCACAAATTAAGCAGAAACAAGCGAAGAGGAAGTTTTAGTAAGTGTTGTAGATAAAAGACATTTTGTGCCTTTCCTCCATGGAATGTTCTGCAGTTTAAAGTCTTTATGTTCTGATTTAGGGTGTCCCTTTAGGACAGAAGTAGGCTGTTTTTCAGCTAGTTCTTTGTCCTCATGCAAGCTAGATAATTTTAACAGTTCAGGTACTATAGTGACTTGCGCTTAAATGCGTATCAGATTTTGCCTGTCTCCTATCTGTAGCAGGGTAACTAGGAAGAGGACAGGGTTTCTGTCACAGTCTTAGCTATTTAGCTCTAAGTTGGTCAAACTACAGTGTTTGATTTTAAATACTTTCCTCAGACATGGGTTTATTGTTTGGTGGAATGGGAAAGAAGATTGCTTTATGAAGGAATTTAAAACAAGTGTTGGGCGTTTTGGGGTTTTTGTTTTGTTTTTTTTAACAGCAATCATTGTTTCCCCCATCATTTCCCACTGTCACTGCCACTACATGAAGTGGCATCTCTCCTTAAACTATTTGCATGCTTGTGTAGAACTTAATCTCTACTGTGAACTCTACTGACTGGGGGGGAATTCTTCCTGCTGTGACTTTGTTCTAGTGTTTTTGTAGCAAAGATAATTTTCTGTTTCTGAAAAACTGGCTTCGTAACTTCTTTTTCCTTACTTCTTTTGCTGTTTTTGTTATTCTTCTCCAATGCATTAGAATCCTCCAGGGATTATGAGTATTTTAGATGATGTGTGTGCCACAATGCATGCAGTGGGAGAAGGAGCTGACCAAACATTGCTTCAGAAACTCCAGATGCAGATTGGGACTCATGAACATTTCAACAGCTGGAACCAGGGATTTATCATTCATCATTATGCTGGAAAGGTAATGTGGCAAATCATCACTGAATTCTGTGTAATGTATTTATAAAGAAAAAGAACAGTAATGAAAGGAAGGGGGCAGCCCTGCAGAGGGCTGTTGTGGTTTTAAATAGGCAGATTATCTCAGGAGACAGTGTCCTCCTTTCACAATGTAGGGAGCTTAGAACAAATATGCCCTAACATATGTCCCTTACTTAGGAGAGTTGAGTCTGGGCCTTGCTGCTATCAAACATACTAACCAGAACTTAGTATTAAATGTAATAAATAAATGCCCCTAGTCTTTTGTTAATTATAGTCTTAATTGTTGGTTAAAGTAGCAGTAAATTTAAATAATTCAGATATATCATCACCTAAGGATCATTTTTATATCAATAAAACTGGGAATATAATGTACAATTTATCTTCTTTGGTTTATTTCTCATACTATTCATGATTTCCTGCAGTAAATCCTTATTATGCAAAAATTTTTCTTCCATAAAATTCAGTATTAAATTCACTTGTGTCATATTCCATTCAGTAGCTCCATAACAGTCTTTTTCACTGAAGTTAAATATATGGATTACATTCCTTTATGCTTGTTGTGAAAGAGTTAACTAATAATATATGCAAGGATTTAGTGATCATTGTAGGTAGTATCTTTAAGTTATACCAGACTAACCAAAAAATTCAGAACAGCTACCGATGAGGACAGAATTTAAATTTTCTTTAATTATTGGGTTCTCAACTTACCACAAACAATCAATTTCCACCTTGGCCCAGGTATCTTATGATATGGATGGATTCTGCGAGAGAAATCGGGATGTTCTTTTCATGGACTTGATTGAACTCATGCAGAGCAGTGATTTGTACGTAAGCAAAACTTGCTTAAAGCTAGGAATAATGTGTTAGTTCAGATGGCTGCAGAGGGCCTGACTTCTCTACTGTGCAACTTGTAAACTCATTTGTATAAAAGTGGAAATAAAACATCACTGCAGTAGAACAGTATCATTTGCATTATATTGACCTTCATTTTCTGCAAATCTGAGTAAGTAAGGTACTGCAGTGTCAGAATCAAATGGTGTAATGACAACCATTTGTTTTGGCCTCAAACAAGGCCATCAGTGATTTGGCATTCTCTCAGAACAGGTGCTGTTTTAACATATAGTAACATTTTTTTTGTTATTTATTTTAATTAATTGATGCTTACTTTTTAAGAAGTGTGGGTTTCTTTGAGTCTAGAAGTCTGGTATGTCTTCCAAGGCTCCCTAAAATAGCAAGGGATCTCTATGAGGAATGAAGCTCATGGAAAATACTAATCTTAAAATAGATTTGATATAACTCCAGATTAATAGAAATAGCTATTTATATTCTGCTCAGCTATGAACTTTTACAGCATATTCCTTGACATTCCTGCATTGAATTGTCTTTCTATACCAACACTATTTTATTAATTCTTTCCTAGGCCTTTTATAAAGGCTCTGTTTCCTGAAAATCTTCAAGTGGACAAGAAGGGCCGTCCTACCACTGCAGGCAGTAAAATCAAAGTATGTCTAGTTTTGCTGTGTTAGTATGTGTCTATATGGGTGCATGTAAATAAGAAAAAAAAAGTAGTCTTTGCTGCTTTTTACTGTCCAGACATTTTTAAAGATAGACATCAGGAGTATCTTGATTGCAAAGTGATGCATTGTTTCAGCTGTTGGAATCATGTTTTGCCCAGCATCACTGTTTGTTAAATGTTTTGTTCAGCTGCATTCTACAGCAGTGTATTTCCAAATGACCAATTGATGGTAGCGATAACAGTATTTGCATGTGCATAATGAACGAGCCCCTTCACTCAGCCACTTGATGTCCTACAATTAACTACAGATAACTGGTCTCTTCATAGTGCAGAAATGCAGCGGGGCCTGATCCAATGCCCACTGAAGTCAACAGAAGTCTTTCTACTGACCATAATGTGCATTGAAAAGGCAGCAAGTGTTAGCAAGCACATCTTTTTGGAGAGTGGTTGTAAAATATATGCTTAGATTACACACTTGCAGATTTTGGAAATGGGTATTTTATCAACCTCTTTCCTCATATTTCACCCTGGCAGTCAAGTTCACCTGATGCATTCCTTGTCAGTCTGTATTTTTATATAATAGTTTAAATTTATTACATAGCTGGAGATAATGGTGCCTTCTATTTACTGATAAAGTTTTCATGAGGTGCATATTGTCCCAAGACACTTTGGTTCTGGAGAAAGACCAAAGTCAGTTGGATCCAGTCAACTGAATCGTCAGCAGATGGTTGATAACTTTTAGAATTCTCTCACAGGATTCACCCTGTTCAGCTCAGATGCTATTGTTCTCCCTCAATTTTCCAGAAACAAGCAAATGACCTTGTCGGCACCCTGATGAAGTGTACACCCCATTACATCCGCTGCATCAAACCAAATGAAACAAAGAAGTCTCGAGACTGGGAGGAGAGCAGGTATGGATAAGCAGAGCATGTGATGAGAAACAGTGCTAATAGTAAGAAAAAAAAGTGCCACAAAATTCGTAATTTGTAATCATACAGCCTACAGACAAACAGAACTAGATACCTGAAAACCTTCAGAAATGAAATCTGGCATGACCTCTCCTAAACTTTGAAGATAAGTTGTGGTCACTTGGTCTAAATCAGCAGTTAGTATATGCAGTTCTTAGCTTTTCTCATATCAGTTATGAATAGTCAACATCTGCATAACAGTAACACAGTTGGTATATTAAAGACTCAGTTTTCCATGTAGAATTTGCACACCAAATACATTATACATCAATTCTAACTTTTGCTTTATGCTTTGGAAACAGCTTCTATTAGGTAGCTAAAAAGCCAGCAGGATGTCTGTGTCTGCTTTTATGTATCAAACTTACCAAAAAGTCTCTACAGCCAAAAATGTAGAAGGTTCCTTTTTTACTTACTGACTTTTAAGTTTCATTAGCCAGCTCTTTAAAGAGAAGTCACTAGAACATCATATCAGGTGGTTATATAGACATTAAATAGATGTCTAAGTCATCAGTTTGGTTTCTCTCATCTGTTTTAGGGCATCTTTAACTATATGATGCTTTATAGCATCTTCCTATTATCTGAAAAAAGATACTCTTCTTTTTTGCACCGAATTAGGCGATCAGTACAGTATTTATACTCTGGGAGGTCCTAATATAGGTGACATTTATTACTATATACGAGGTACTTTTGGTATTGGTAAAAGTGCTGATAAAGCAAGTGGTTATTTTTATCACAGTGAAACAACTAGCTAAGTCTGATAAAAAGCATTCTTGAACATATCAGCAACACACCAGAATTCACTTCCTGCCATTTGGCATGCAGACTAGCACAATTACATGCAGATGTAGAGCACTTACAGAAGCCACAATTGGGACTGCACTTGAAAGTGTCATTTAGGTCTTGGCAGTCAGTGTAGACCCTCTTTCTCTAGCTTTTCCACCCCTGAAAATCCTACTGTGCAGCACTTAATTTTCCACTGATACTGGGGACCAAAGGAGGAAAATAAGTGATCCTGGAAGAAGTATGTCTAAAACTTTTAACTATAAGTTGAGGGGCTTTTAAAATCAATCATTTACATATTGTAAAACAGGCCTATTATTGTGGAGGGTGTTGCTAGGAAACCAGTGAAACAAACAAACAAAAACCTAGTCCTGAGAAAAGACCAGCTTTCAGGAAACCCCTTTTGGAGCAAAAATGGGCAAGATTTCTTCTTGTTTTCCCATAATGAGGATGATATTTAGCAAACGCAGCAGCTGCTGATAACAAATGAAATGCAAAGAATTGTATACTATCAAACCCAGACACAAATGGAAGTAGTTCTTATAATAGTAATCGTTCATCCCCATTTCAAAATCCTAACAGGCTCTCCCATTTCAAGCTATGATTTCCCATATATTATACTAGGACCTCACATAGGATACATATGCTGTAGCAGTTAGTGACATGTCTGGGGACAAGCAATTTATATGCATATGACAACTCAAGTTTAATTGTGGTGTTTCATGATTTTACTGTGAGAAAGTTCTGTGTTGAGGGAAATACAAAGCATAACTGAGTTTATGTGATGTTTTGCTGAATGTTGGTTTAGGGGTTTTTGTTTTCTTCTGTGATCACATACTGCTGTGTTATATACATGCTGCCATAGTCAATGTGATGGGAGTATTGTATCTAATCTGCTTATTAGTAGCATGTTACTAGGTGGTGAAAATGTTACTGAAAAGGAAAAAAAAACCTTCATAAAGCCTGTCTTACTTCATGCTCGCAGAAGCCATGTCACTCCAGCTTTGTACTGCTCTTGAATAATTCCAGAATATTTTGTACTGAAACATAGACCTTGTGTAATATCTAAACCTTGTATAATACCTTAGTTATTCCAAAAATTGGGGTGTTCTTGAAATGTGTTTTTGTTCAGGTCCTGGCACAGCCACTTGGATTTGTATTCAAAACTGCTGCATTAGCTGAATTCCCAGACCCTGACCTGCTTGAGGTTGGTGCCTGGAGGGAGATTTTCAGTGTGTCTTTTCTCAGAAAGAAAAGGAAAAACAGAAAAATGTCTCAAATTCTCTGTTGCTGGACACTAATACTGGCAGGACAGTAAGAAAATGGGAGTAATACTGTCGCTCCAGTGCATTATTCCAGATGTGAACAGGAGGGAAAGCTATAAACAGGAAAATGTATTTTTGTCCACCAACTTTCTACTGTACCAGAATTCTTGGAGTGGGTACAAAATATACTTTACTCCTTGAACACAGCAAGATTAAAATGTGCAGTATTCTCTATTATAAGCTAAAAGAGCAGTATCGCTCATCCTTTAGTAAAATACCTCTTATAAATGTTCTTTAAAAAGAAGAAATAACTGAAGGGCTTTTGTCATTTGTAGCATGGGATTTCAAAAGTTCTTTCTCTTTATACTATGAGTCATGTGAAAAGAATGTCTCAACCAAAAAAAGGAAAAAAAAAAAAACCACCAATGGGCAATACACTTTATATTGAAATTTAACATTTCAAAATAGCTAGAGAAATAACATTGAATTAACCAAGAGTTTTTCAGGATTTGATAAATCTTTTGTAAAATCAGAGAAATAGTAAGCAAAACAGAATTAAATGGCTCCTTACAGGCTCACTTTTTCTTACTATATGTAAAGCAATGTTCTTTTATATACTGTATGTTAAACCTGCAGGACTAAAATCTTAACAACTCTTATATTTGTGACTGAAAGCTAAACCTTCTATAATTTGCCCTATAAAAGAACAGCAACAGAAGCCCATGAACACCACATTTCAGAGTTAAAAATGGACATTGCCTCTTCCAGCCGCCTGACTTAGATGAAGAAAGTAAGGAAATGCGAGGGAAAACTGCAAGAGTCATACATTGTTAAGGAAGCTAACTGAAATTCTTCAAATCAAATCTCCAAGCATTAAATAGGAGACTAGCGGGTTATGTAAGAAGGAATATAAAATAATGTACTGCAGCTCCAGAAAGAGGAGAAGGTGCCAAAAGGAAGCTTTTTTTTTCCTTTCGCTGTTTTTCTGCTTTGGGATTCGTGGGGGCATATTTGTTCCCTGTTTAGAACCTAAATGAACGTGTTTTGCATGAGGGAACTGTAATGGTGTTGGGATACTGATATTTCAGTTCACATGTGCAGTAGAGTCCCTCCACAGCCATTAACACTTTCTGTGGGACTGGTACCAATTCTGGTTTTGCTTGCAATTAAAGTATGCCATGAACAAGCTTACCAGGCATGCTTCGGCCAGTCTTGTGCATATCCTCAAATCCTTGCTTTTGCAGCATAGTAAAATTAGGAGGAATGCTAGGTTTTCATGAGTATACTAGCCTGTCTTTTTTCTTTCTGATCCTTTGTGTAATCAAAGTGGGGCATCTGGGGCTTTCTCCAGCCATCAGATTTGGTCCTTTCTCCCAAGCAACCAAAAAAGACCTACTGTGTGCTACTGTTGTTGTATGAGCTATGTAAAACATAGGTGAAACCTACAATAAAGGAACACAAAACAATTTCCAACTCCTTTGGATACCAGCTATGTAGTTTTATAGGTAAAAGTTACTTAGACTTTTACGGGTAATACTATTAGTTAAGAAATTTATACATAAACTAGTTAGGGGATAGGAACTTCAAAAAAATGCTAAGGTAAACTTGCTACGTATATTGCATAATGTAGTCTACCTGCCTTGAATATTTTTCCTACCGTGCAGTGTGCATGGTAATGTGCAAGAACAGATTGATATACCTGTGCATGAATTTTAGAAGTCAATAGTCTTTAAACATGATATGGACTTTTAAGAATACCTCCATCCACAAATATGCTGAGATAAAATGGATTGTAAATCTTGCATTGTTTTTGTCCACAGGGTAAAACATCAAGTGGAATACTTAGGTCTGAAAGAAAATATCCGAGTAAGAAGAGCTGGCTATGCCTACAGGCGGGTTTTCAAGAAGTTTCTGCAGAGGTAGGGTAATACTCGTTTTGAAGTATTACAGCACAGTTTTTTACATGATGAGGAGGAAAACAAGAAGTTTTGAAAGCTTCTCATTTCCCACTTAGACTTTCCTTCTTCCCCATTTACCTTGCTCACGATCTAGGTTACACAGAGATTTGAAAGTGTCTTAAAGACTGGCTTTGTGTCTTTGAAAGTCTTTTCATTTTTCTGTAAACTCACCTAAGACCTCACTTCCTTTTCTAGTGCTATGAGAGGGTTCCTCAAGGTTAAAAAGAGTTAAGGGAACTTACGAGTTTTGAGCTGTAGAGCCTGGAATCTGAGTGTCTAGCTGTTAGCCTTTGTTTAAGATGTTACTGCTCTAGCTTTCCCAACTCTTCTTTCCCAATGACAGAAGATAGGTAAAGAAATACATGCCTGCCATTCAAGTGTAAAGAGCAACCTTAGCTTAAATTGCTCATTACATCCTTCCACTGGTGTACAAACAGCTGGGAATGGTTAAAACTCAAACCACTGCAGCTGCTTGCTGAATGAAAGCAAGTCAGAGCTCTGTAAGACCAATCCTTTTTTCAGTGTCTTAGGACCAGCTGTTAAGATGATTAACTACCTCCACTAGCTAATGAAATCCTCTTAAATAAGAGCAATTTCAAGATTTATACAACATTCAGCTTCTGTTTTTTAAAAAAAAATCAGACAAACAGCTAATAAATGCCCAGACTGGGGCATTACATGACAAATCAGCTTATGTTGGAAGTCTTTGTGTTACATTTGAGAATACAAAACAAAAAACCCAATCAGTTGTTGCAAGGCATGGAGTATAATTAATCAGACAGCACAGAACCAAGCCACTGATAATACTTCATGACAATACAGAGAATGTTCCAATCATCTAGTAATAGACAGACCTAAAATATCTTAAAAGTATGGACTCAATTTTCATTATGGAACAATTTTAAATCCCTTTTTCTTCACGATCTTCAAACCCAGACATATAAACATGAATATGCTTCAGGTTGCATTACTTAACACAGACTGTTGCTGAGACAGAATAACAGATTAATAATGTGTATTATATGTAGGCTCCAGAGTTGTTGAACACTGATTGTGAGGGCTCTGCAGGTCTAGAAATCTGCCTGAGAGATCTGCACAAAGGAAAAGCTACATGGTACTTCTGGAAGGCGAATAGAGTTCTATACTTCACATTATATGAGGAGATCAGCAGGCAATTGAAACCATTCTTTATGGAATTCATCCATTTGTTTCAAATTGTTAAATCTGAAATTAACAGTCTTGTTAAATTTAACATTTTGTTATGTGTAAAACTCTTCCTGCAACCTTTCCATTCACAGTTCCTTAGCATCCAGAACAAGCTCTGTTCTGACACCCTGAGTCAGTGTGACTAAAAGTGGGCTGAGGCATGGGATGGACAGGAAATGCATGCCTGTACACTTGTTTTCATGGGGCGTTCCTTGGCAGCTCCATATAAGTGGAGATTTCTGGGCTGAATAGACTTTTATGTACAAAATTTACATTTGCATGCAAAAAGCCACAGTCACTGAAAAGGCCTGTGTGTTTCAAAGCATAACCAATCTGAAAGCTGAACTCCATACTCCCATATTTAGACATAGGACCTAACTGCTCACTGTGAATTTATAATAGATAATTTGGGGGGGGGGGGGCAGTCATGATGTGGAATTATTTCAGAAGCATTTTCAGAACATACTTTGTACTTGTGCCAAAACACCCTGTAAAATCAAATTACACAAGCTTGAAAAACCTAGATACATGAATATCAACTTGGCCAGTTTAATGGGAAGCATGCACAAGTACATTAGAGGAAAGTGCTATTCCTAAACAGTGGTAAACAATGATAGAATTGTCATGTTATAAAATTGTGAAATGCTTAATTGGTGCATGTTATAGAATGATGTGTTTCTTCTGCTCTGTAGACTTGTCACAACCGTAGAATGTGGGAAGTTTATTTGAGTTTATATAAAAGGAGAATTTCAAATGTATTCTTATTTTGTACCCGAGAGCTTTATTTATATTAAAAGGTCTCAAGTCATGTTTTTCCCTGTGCCCTCCTTTACAGCTCAGAAGATGTAGGAAATAATTTGTAACATGCTGAAATGTATTGTCAAATTCTGTTGTGTGGAAGGTAGCAGTCTCAAATGCCTTTATTAACAACAGCTCCTTTAAATTCAGACTTGCTTAAACCCACCTATACAACTATACCATTGGTGGTACGTGATGAACCTGCAAAAGAGGCTGTTAATTAAATAAGCTGGGAGTTACTTTAACTTACAACTCTGTACTGGGTTGCATCTATTTATCCCATAATACTGATAAATTATGTAAATACATAAGCATACACATTGTCTGTAAACATAATTATCTGTAATATACTTCTATATTTAAGATGGTATAAGAGCTACTTTGTTAAACTATCATGCATAGTACCTGAGCATTTGTTAACTAGTAATAGATTTGAACATGATAACATCAGTAGACCCTTTTGAATCCTACTGAATTATTCATAAGTTAGCTTTCTCTTTTCATACACTTTCTATTCAGAGGCATTTGGGTTTTGTAATACGTTCCTTTTTAACTGTTTGCTATTTTTCTTTCCACAGTATTGTTATTTAAGTTGCATGGCACTGTTTCTGCTTCCCAGCTGGATAACATTTTAGATATAACAGGAATGAGTAATGAACATTCCCTTCATTAATTTTCTAACAATTCCTTTTGTGATTTTTGAGAACATTTTATTAGGAGCTGCCTAAATCTTCTTAAGGAACAAGAACTTGGGAATTACAACAAACTGAACTCCATACTGTATCACTTTTTTCATTAGTTGAATAGTTTTACTAATAAGCATGATTTAGTTTATATAACTCAAGTATGCTTAAGGCATTAAAAAAAATTAAAAAAGAATAAGACAGAGAAGGCTTGAGTGGGAAATTGGCCATGTGCTTGGGAATGAAACTAGAATACCAAGGATGTAGGTACTTAATCTGGACCATAAGTCATTGCTAGTAAATAACCTTGCCCTGGACTTAAGGAGATCACAGCAGAACTTTCTGTAATTAACTACTGCAGTTACCAAATAGTAACTTAGCATCTGGAAACGGGAGACTCCTGGATACTGTTGCCCTTCTCATTGCAGTTGTTTGGTCTTGCACAGTTAAGATGTTACTTGTTTAGCATCTTCCCATACTCCAAGCTTCTGTAAGTACTGCTGACA